TAAAGTCACGAACATTGTACATTCAATCCGGGCAAGGGAAATTTTGCAAATTATGTTTCGCCACATTAATAGAGCGATTTGAATGAGAATTTTTCACCAAATCAAGTGAATTGGGATTTAAACGTTCGATCATTTAAACATTATTCTTAAGACTAATAATACGACGACATTCATTTGTTATATGTCATCAGATAATCAGGAAAAAACCTTGAACACATTAGAATGTGTTTTACTGAAGTCTCAAATTAAACGTCTAGTTGTCTATGCATCAAGCATCACGAACTTTCATGTGAAACGGTATCAAATGCTTTTGCAAAGAAAAATTTATAGTTTAGAGTATGTGATGCGGGGAGTTAACATTATGGTTGAAACAATGAAGACTGGTATTAGTCTGAACTACATATAATTCATTTTTTAAACAAAGAAAGCGAATTTTTCACTTTAACTCTTTTGAAAGTCAAGGCGAAAGCACCGAATTTTAAATCCTGTGTGATTCAGTGCAAAAATACGCAAGTGACATCAATCAATTCAGATATTAAATATCCATTATGAATCCACTAGCTCAAGATCTTGGAAACGATAGGAATGTGATTACAACCAAAAGCTGACTCTTATTTTGTGTTACAAACGTGTTAGAGTTTGGTAAAAACATTATCATAGTTAGACACTGGTGGAGTCTCCATAAATAGCTTCACAACGGCTACTGGCGAGACGCGTTATTCCGTTATCAGAGAATATCAGCTTGACCAACAAATGATTAATCAATTGAATAAGGGGACCCAGCTACTAGACACAACCATAATGCTTAGGACAAGAGAAAACGATAGTTGGCACGGCTTTTGAAACAATATTGTTAGAAAGGGTTAATTGTAATGTAATATAAATTGACAAAAATAATTTTGTCAGGTTAGCATTATCGACTAATATCATGTTAACGAATAAAGTTGCTAAACAGGGGACCAGCATTCTCTGAAAATTAACTGTTGAGAAGATAAATCAGACCAAAACATGTTTTAAGTCGTATCACATAAATATATTTCCAACCAATTAACTGAATTAATATCAGTGACCAGTCAATAACTTCTCCTGAAAATGTTTTACAGTCACATTATTTTACAATTTATGTATATTTCATATAGAAAACGACTTTATATGATGTACAGTAACTTTATAAGCTCATTCAATTTAGATAACTAATGAAGTGAGTGTTTACTACAAAATAAGATGTAATCTGAGTAGTTTTTTTTGTTGTTGCCCGAAATGTTTAATATATGTTCGTCGAAAAATAAGGTGTTGTTAAGCTACCAGAAAAACATAATAGTTTAGAATAGTTAGTGTGCAGTAAGTTTTCCAATAAACTGTAGGGCTAGATCACATTGAACGATTTGCACGATTAACTTCAAAAATGGAAAAAAAATCAGTTTTATTATACTTGACATTGAAACTGCTGATTGCCTCAAGTAAAAAACGTCCTATAGCTAAAATACGCTTCATAAAATACAACTTAAACGAGGAAATATTTTTTTTATTTGGTTCTTCATCATAGTTGTACACCGATATATATATATATATATATATATATATATATATATATATATATATATATATATTAGACTGCCTATCGAATAAATGGTGATGAGTAAATTAACAATATGTACCTCAATACTTACCGTAAACATAATTGGTCACTTAGCTGAACTTATATTTTTAATGTTCTTAATACCGACCAGATGTTTGAAAATTTTGTAGTTCTCCAATTTATTTCGATTAATAATTTACTTTTATCTGAAGGGACTAATCAGATAGAAAATTTGGAGTTTGTAAGATGTCATAAATAACTGATATTATTAAGTTTTACTCAATTGTTTACCTATTGAAATGCTTATATTTTTATAAAGTTGGAAAAGAAGGCAAAAGGTGAGCTTTATAAGATGTTGTCAGTATGATTATAAAACGTCTATGTTTAACTGACTATTATCTTCAATATATTTTTTCAATTTATTACCCTAGTACTATGGTTTCAATTTCAATTTAAGATATGATGATATAGTTAGGCCTCTACACTCCAAACATCCCAGCAGAAAAATTTATTTGAACTAGGGTAGGATTTTTAAAACAAACAGGTTTTTACTGGTTTTGAAGAAAATTTAAGTTTCTTATTTTATCCTTTCGACTTCATAGCTAATCTCAAGGAAAATAAAATCATTTATTAGCCACTCTGCATGTAATAAGTGACGGTTTTTTAGCACCCAGCCCAGTCGTCTATTTAGCCGAACTACCAGTCTAGCAATTTCATAGTAAACTTAAACTATGTAGATTAAAGTTTGACTTAGATGATCATTCCAATAAGGTAAGCATATTGAATACATATGAGTCATTCTTGAGAAGAGACATACTTGTGAAATGAGCCTTATCACAATAATTATCATGTTGTTTTCTTTAACTGCTTTTTGACTAAACTTAAATGAATATTTCCGTCATGCTTATTTCCCTGTAGCCTATCCTTCTACTAAACAACCACTACTTCACTAGTCGTCTGTAATGCAGGATTTATAAAATCTCAATTTATGACTCTTAGTAGACACATGAAACCTATCGTCATGCTAAAAGGTTTCCAGGCACTTTTTTTTAACATGATATGTGTAATTATCGTGAGCTCGGAACTCCATAGTAATGAACCTAGATGAACCTATTTTATATTCATAAAAAAATAAAAAAACCTGTTTTTAGGAACCAAAATTTTCATTTTCTTATCTTTTATGTAGGAAAATTGCATCTTTACAATGCTTGATGAAATTTGTTTTGGTGTATTTTAGTTATTTTTAGCACATGAAACGATGTTTCGTAACGAGTTAAGTAGACTAAAATATGAGAAAATAATTTAAACCACGCCCTAAATGGGAACTAAATCATGGTAACAATGCAATTACATATATTTCTACCGTTATGGTTTTAAATTTGAGTTTCAGAGTTCAAGTTTATTTTTTTCTTATTATAGAAATTACCGTCTGCTTTTCCACTTATTTCTTTGCTCTTTGAATATTTTACAAACAAACTAACAACTACATCTTACCAAGAGTGGTTTAGTTTTTTAATATCTGATTGAATTGTTGATCTTATTGAGTATTTTTCTGGTTAAAAACCGTTTGTATTTCATGTCACTATAATAACTGACAATTACTTTGACAAATGAATAAATTCTCATTCCAAATGGACACTATTTTCTAATGAAGAGTTATTTAAACTACACTGAATATTATACAGCATTAATGAAAGGAAGATTCAACTGTGTTCCGTTTCATCATCTTACTCTTATTTTGAGGATAAAAAACTTTCATAATTTCATGGTGTTTGAGACGTATAAACGGTTAAATATGCTGACTGACATGCTTACTTAAACAAGCGCTTTTATTAACATTCATGAAAACAGGGTGATAATTTTCTATCATTTTAAAATTATCTGATATAAGTTGATTGATTTTAAGGAACTGTTAAACCTCACTTTATGAGTATCAGCTGATACTTGGTGGTTTCCTCGCCGATAGTAGCCTGTATTTTTTACTTAAACTGATAGAATGCAAGAATGATAAAAATTTAATATATGAACGTGATATTGTATGTCGTCAATGTTTTTTTTTCAGTCTATCAGATGTCTTTAAGTTACACTAATCCACAATAAGGGAATTCTTGAATTTACGCCTACTGTAATAAATTCATTCACTATCTATTATCAGAAAACCGACAAATAAGCCAATGTATCGTAAATGCAGAAACGTCTTGCACGAATTATGATGAGCTTTTATGGTAATTCTTTGTTGGACCTTACCTACTTGTTTTGCACAAAATAGTTACATTAGAATATAAACAAAAGTGATCAATGAAATTGGACCTTGTATTTTTCATAACATGCTAGTTACTCCTAAAACATATTGTAATTTACTGATCCCGACAATCAACCACAATGTCTTGGTTATTCAGTGGCTAAAGAATAGGAATTCCGGCATAGAAAACTTATTTCTCGGAAGGAATCGAATACACGATCATTGTAAAATAAGTGATTTTAGCTTACCAGATGTAAACGTTTCGAACAATCTCAAGTTGCTCAAATAGTTACATTAAATACTAAGTGCAAAGTAGATACTTTATTTGAAAACGCTATATTCCATGACTGCTTGTCGCTTATAAATCGAGTTATGTATTACGCTTGTGTGGATTTTTTGGAAAAACTGAGTATCCAGATTACTGTTAGTTATTAGTTTGATAAAAGTTATTGCTATAAAATAGTTTTCATTAATGCATTTCCTAAAAGCTGTCAGGTTAAAAAACCTACCCTGAAACTTGACATTTGAATTTAACTAGAATTCTACATCTATAACCCATATCCAAAAAATTAATTTGAATAAAATTTCAGAGAAAAGTACTAGATAAAGCTTTAGGATGACACTATCCTGAAATACAGAAGCTTCCAACAATTCATTAGCCTATATATGAAGGTAAGGATCTATCGCCTTGTCATCACGGTAAAACGTCCCGTAATTTCGACCATCTTTAACCACACTGTTTGCGTTTATTCTCTTCATTTGTGTGATTTACAAAGAGCAGAAAATTATTCCTAATGCTCATCAGTACATTTATGTGGATTTGTGAGATATTTAGTATAAACACATAATTCGCTTTGCATAAGAGTATTCATTGTCGCTTATTTCAAAATTTATCTGACTAAAACAAATGGATATAGAATGTCACAACAACATTTTACTTTTGCTCCCAATGTTAGTAAGACTTCATTGTCGAATTTTGTTTGGGTCATTTTGGTAAGTTCTAACAAACATTCAATCAATTGTAATGAAGTAAGAGGCATATGTGAGTTAAAACACAAACTACTTACTGATTTGCCAGAAGTTGTTTTCAATACTTCATCATAAAATAATTACTGACTACATAAGACAATAAAAATGAAAATATGTTGGTGACCATAAGTAAACTGTATTCATCTATAATTTTAAATAAGCACTTTTTCGTATAACGTTATATATACAAATAAGAGATATAAATCAGGCGTCGCGGTGAAATATCAATGCCTTCTTAACCAATAAATTCATCATTGCTATAACGATCATCGCGGTTGTCTTGTTTAAGTGTTTTTAGAACTTCTTCGAATGTATTACTACATGGTGCAGCTAGATCACATGCCCTTAAAGGAGATAAACATCTCTCAAATTCAATGGGTTCAATTATGATATCGTCCAGTAATGATGAACTTGAACGTTGATGATGCGAAGAATTTTGTGAATGACGATCAACTAGATTGAATGATACGGAATGACGACGTGGTGAAACAGAAACCTCTGGTATAGACTCAGGTATATTAAGTGTATAAGGTAAAGATCCTCTGGAACCTTTTGATAAATATGGTTTTAAATAATTAAATTTACTATTGAATGAATGAATCTTTTGATCAATATACATATGAGATAAAAATGGAGGTGTATCATGTGAAGTCATCGAATCGTCTGATGAAATTTTACTATTGTCCATATTTACGTGTGACGATACCAGAATGAAAGGCTTCTGAGATGAGATTTGCTTTAGTTCTTCCTTGTTTCTGTTCATAATTCGGTGACGTTTATCATCAAATAAATTTGTAACTGGAAGTATCTATTGGAAGGTATTATCGTTTAGTTAAATTACAGATTTCTTATATGTTCCTTTTCATATTCAAACAGTACTACTATAATTTATGAGGGTTTAAAAAACTGCTTAGAGAATTCACGGTGAGTGAAATTGGTAGAATTTTTCATATCAAATAGTTGATCTAACATCCGTAAATTACACACTCACAAACATACAAACATAAGTTTTCTATTGTTTTAACTATGTAGTGATATCCAAGGTCATTTCAAGTTGCTATTCTTTTACTCAACATTAAAGTGATTGGTTAATTGTTGTTCTAGTTGTGTACCCTCTACTGATAATAAAAAACGATAAGCAGCATATGAGTGTACTCCGATTTCTTACCAATACCATAAAATACCTACATCCTTAATAAATTATATATATATATATATATATATATATATATATTTGCAGAACCAGAAAATACAACTGTGCAATTTACGAGGTTGCTAGGATGCAACATTTTATTTTAACAATAACCAAAGCTCTATATTTGTTGAGTTTTATTTAACAATTACAAATTGTTCAATAATTTACATAAGTTTTGAACTATTGTTTGAAGTTAAATAATTAATGTGAAAATACAATAATAGTAACGTAATTTCAATAAATACCACATTGAAAAAGGACGAATTTTCGACGCGTTAAGCTTACTTCTTTTTTCCCATAAAATTTCATATGATCTAGTCAAGGGACGTAAACAACTGTAGTGAACAACTGTTCAACACCTTTACAAATCGTAACAATGTTTGGTGTTCATTTCTAAATCCTTAGATTGACGAAACATAACATTAGGAAACAAACCAAACCAATTTACATGCGTTATGAATCATACTGAGATTAGATTGTTGTATAAAATGTTTCAAGCTCTCAATTAACTTACTGGGATTTATTTTTTCAAAAAGATATGTTTAAAGATTTTTGGTAGTGTTATATTCTCCGTGTTTGACAGTTTTTCCATGAGCATTTTACTATTTTTCTGGACCATGTTATCCAGAAAAGTTTCAAAATGAAATAACCTGCTAAATTATCTTCACAATCGATTATTAGCGCGCGCTCTCGACTTGAAAATTACTGTCAGCGATATTTGTGCTAACTTTCTCTAAATATTTTCTCTGTATGTTATTTACTTCGAGAAAAAGGATAAGCAGCCTTCAAACTTCCAAGATTCAACGTTCTTCCTTTCGTTATTGCAAATGATTTTTTCCGTTTGCTGATACCACCACAGCTCTGAGAATGATGAAAAACATCGATTACATCATGGTCAGCTGTTAAATCAAGTTCCGTAATCCTTAGAGTAAATGGGTTTTGGATTAAGTTATTACTAATTATTTTATATTCGCACCCCCTTCAAGTAGAAAGTGTAAAATAATGAAGCTTAGTATGAAAATCAGTTATCGGTGTAATGAAACAATAATCTGTTATGGAAAATGTCTTGCACAAAATTAATGTATTCGTGTTTAATAGTCATCTCGTTTTATGCTATAATTTACCGACGTTTTGACACAATTAGTTTATTGGATGTTAGTAAGTGCACTGAAAACTATTTATCTGTAGCGAAAATGTGTTTCACTGTCAATAGTTTATAATTGTCCATTCAACAGACATTATATGAAGAAAAATATATATCAGTTGACATTGGTTATTAAAATCAGTGTATCGAATAGTGAGTGAAAAGGAATAGATTATCAATATAGACTTTGTAAATTTGCATGCAATGAACAATAACAGTATAATAACTATTGAGATTTTGTCTTTTCCTGATATTTTAATGATGTACTGCAGATAAGTAGGCTTCGTACTTTTACATTATTATGTGAACTATCATAAATAATATCATCTTCCCTCATTGGGGAATTGAGTTGGCAACATGTGTTTATAGAATGCTATACATGATAATAATAATATATTTTCTCAAAATAACAATTACAGAATTCACGCCAATTTACAGGCATGATCAGCTCGATATAAATAGTGGCATTAAATGTAGGGAATAAACATGTGATATAAGATTGTTTAAAGTTTGATAGTTCAAAAATTGTTTAGGTAGTATATTTATGACATGTATTACAGCAATGCAATGCATCGGCTGGGAACTTTCAATTCTTCTTAAGTGGACATTCTATTGATTTATGAACGGTGCATTTAAGGTCATTTCCTGTGCCATAACGAATTAATCATAATAATCTACAACTAGAGAAAGTAAAATGGATACAGAGAGCACGGAACAACGAAGCAATAATTACTGAAATGTGTCAGCCAGGTCTACCATAATGCATGTCATATGACTCAGTGATATACTGTTTATGTTAGATATTATTCAAATTAGTTAGGGTTGTCAGGTACGTTGTTAACGTAAAGTAAAGACGGGTGGACGGTTTTACTTAATGAATTTAGTGACAAGAATGGCTAAACATTTAAAGTTTCTATAACCTCATTTGTCGAATAAAATACATTTACAGGTGCTAAACAATTCAATGTATTTTCAGAGGAGCAGTATGCATCAATGCAGTGAACAAAGGATGGGAGTGATTTTATCTTACGGATAGATTGTTGTAGATTAGTCTGGAGTCTGGAAAATTTACAGGTAAAGTAATTCACATAGAGAGATGATTTAGATGAGTTTGTTTTACTAGTGACAAGGAGTTACTGATGTCATAATTAGAAGTTTCTAAATACTGAATTGCTTGACTGGATGTAAAGGATAGTTTATGAAGTATTTTTAAGAAAAAGATAAAATTTAATTTGAGTCTCCTCTTCCATAAAGGATCAAGCCCAAGTTTATTACATCTGGAATTGCAATTCAAGGTACAATCAGTTCCGAGAATACGAAGTGTAAATCGTCTCTGTACTGATTCCAACCTTAATTTATCCCTTCCGCGCCCATTGCTAAGAATAAACATGTAGTATTCTAAGAGTGTTCGAACACAAACTTTGCAAGTCGAAATACATAACTCATTGTTATAAAGGTTTAGAGTTATGCAACTCACAAGACGTTGAGACCTGGAGGTCTGTTTCAATACCTGTTCTGCAAATGACAAATCGTCCTAAGTCTACTATTGTATGTAACTTAGATAACACCTCCCCATTGGTGGTTAGATCTATCCACATTTATCTGTATTAGGCTACAGCTACTATTTTGAGCACCACTATGCTGCCTTGCTAAGCTCCATGCCGATGCAATTTTGCATAATGTTCAGCTCATGAGGAGAAAATGAATACACTAATTTAATACCGGTTACTGATGAGGAATACAACTCACGAAACTATAGCAAAGAGACCTATCATGACCTATTATTCCAACCATCAAAGGTGATATTAAATTATGATTTAGCAACAAATAAACAAGTAGGGGGTTACTAACCAAAAAATTATTCATACTTTATGTTAGTTTCGTTTGGATTTTCGGTCCCTATTCTCTCCCCAATCAACTCATTTTCGTGTATGGCTTTATAGTACTTATTATTGTTGAGTAAACTTATGATAAATAAAAATATTTTTGCCATATCCCAAACAGTAGAAAATTAGATTTCTGACGTTTCGTAACTTAACGCAATCCACTTCTTCAGAGCAAATCAATAACAGAAATAAAATTGACACAAGTTTAAATAGTGAAAAGGAAACAAGTGGCTTACATTAAGTCGCAAGACGTCAAAAATACAATTTTCTACTCAATAAGATACAACAAAAAAGTACATAAATTTATTATTAACATTCTGCCCAATGCTCAATTTATTAGAAGCTATTAAGCTATTCAGTAACCTGCTCTGTTATTCATAACATCTAGGTGTATGGTGTGCCGCAAGTTTATTTGTTGTGTAATATCATAGAACATTCATATACACATACAACATTTACCGTATTATAACAAAGGAGGTTTTGTGGAGATTGTAGTAATTTAATAGTCGAATTCATGAGTCGATTAAAGCTAGACCACCACGAAAAATCTGGAAGCACTCGACGGCCATTTCGTTCTAGTATGGGACTCCTCAGCAGTACACACCTACGATCCCGCTCGTGAGAGTCGAACCCAGGACCTAACAGTCTCTCGCGCGAATTCGTAATCTCTGGACTAGTGAAGTTCAGCCGTGTCTGTTGTGAGGCAGCCACTCACTGAAGACAATGGTGTACGGTGGCACAATTTCGTGGATTGGTTGAAGTTAGACATTAATAACGTTGGATGCCGGCTCAGTGGTCTAGTAGTTAAGTGTTCGCGCGCGAGACCGATAGATCGTGGGTTCGAATCCCGCGGGACGCGGGGTCGTGGATGCACACTGCTGAGGAGTCCCATACTAGGACGAAACGGTCATCCAGTTCTCCCAGGTTTTCCATGGTGGTCTGACTTTAATCGACTCATGAATTCAACTATTAATTTACCGTACTTATTATAATAATTAACTTCTCGTAACCGTTGTAAAAGTTATTTCCAGTTTTGTACATTTCTTGTACCTTTGTCTAAACCAAACAGTTTCCATATTTGTTTGCACTTAGTTCCCTGTTTGGTTGTTGATTAGACAGAGCTATACGCTGTCGTACGTTGTAATTAGTCTTTATGCTATTATTACAGGAAGCCTTCTTCTTTACAGACTTGAAAACGCGTTAATCACCGGCGATGAATCGCGAGATTTTTAATCAATATACGTAGGAGCTTTTAACGTCCGAACACTGAGCCAAATAGGACAACAGGCTTCCTATGCTATAACTTTAGAATCCCGCGCCATCAACTTGTGCTGCGTCTCCGAAACGCGCATACAGGATCCGAGGAGCGTCATCTATTTGATCTCACTATGCCAAAATAAAGAACCGACTCGATCCACACTTCGTGTATCTGGAAGCCCAGATTCTGCTTCCCGTGGCCTCGCCGGCGTAGGTATAGCATTGAGTCCTAGGGCAGAACTAGCTCTCTTAGAGTGGATCCCAGTAGACAGTCGTTTGTGCGCTGTCCGACTAAACGGAACAGTAAGAATCCGAAAGATAGGGACACTCGTCGTCGCCTCTTCGTCGTCTCTGCCTATTCTCCCACTGACTGCAGCGCAGATGATGTAAAAGATAAGTTTTACAGAAAGCTCTCAGACCTCCTCCTTAAAGCT